TAGACTTCCATCCACTTTATCAATTGGTCCAAGGCCCAATTAAAGTATTATTTCTCTCAAAAATCTCACTTCTTTCAATTTGATGCAATTTAGTCCTTCAATTTCTATTTATTTGTGCAGCCCATGTCCTCTTCAATTTAATTCAAGTCCCTCAATTTTCAAAGTGTGGAATTGATCCCCAAACTTTCCATCCAATGGCCAATTTATTATTCTTTCCTTTCCAATTGCTATAAACGAGTTCATCACTAAAAAAATAGAAAATTAACCCAAGTAGAAATTAATAATTTGACGACATAAAAACCTATTAATATGGTCTAAATAAATGCACAAGACGCACTTATCAAATACCTTCAAACTAAAACATTTGTCCATCCTCAAACAAAACAAAATAGAACTTAGGCCTACACATATTACTACCCCAAGCAAATCACAAATAAAAGACTCAACGTTGAACTGCTTACGTATGCCTCAAGTTCAAATTTAAGCAACACTTTTGAAAGATTCAAACAATATCAAAAATATTTTTTTACTTATTCGATGCTCGACTTAGTGTGTGCGTGATTAGCCACATTGAACTTACACTCATATTAGAACACAATCAATAAAGTGTTGTTGATTCACTTATAATCTTAATCCTCTTGTGGTCAATTTTTTTTCACACATCTTGTACAAAAGCACTCTTTATATTATTCTCTCCAATCCCAAGGTATTTCTAGCATATGTGGGTTTCTAAAAATCATTATAACACATTTTCCACACAAGTGCTTAGAATTAGATATTTGTGAACCTTGAAGGAAAATAATAAGCATTTCTAACAGTTATATCGTCAATCTCTATAGTTCAAATTTCGAAGTCTTGGCACCTCGCACTTTTGATAATCTAAATCTCTTTTTTCTTTCTTTCGCTATAATATAATTTGATTGTTGCTCTTTTTTTTTTACATCTCATGTGCAAGACTTCTCTCCATTAACCCTTTTAAATGACCCTTGTAGCGGCTTTAGGCCGATAACTCTCAAGTCAGATAATCATAGAGCACCAGGTAAAAAGGGCTACAAAAAGAAGTATAAGATGTATCAAACTTTTTTTGGTACAAGAATTGAATTTTTAAGGAAGTCAGTGCCAATTCTAGACTCCTTAACTTAGAACATGTATCCTTTAGGATGAAAAATTACCTCTTTTCATCATGTTTTGACACCATTTCTTGTAATGTCGGTTGAGATCTATAATAGATGATTAAAGATCACTACAAAACACATTAAAACCACTTGAGATCAAATTCCATTCCACGAGAAAGATTAAAACTCTTTTCTTTCATATTCAAAAATCTATTTTTTGTGTTCTTGAGTTTTAAAGAAATTTCACTAGTGCTTAAATGTTTATTCCTTTTCAAGGCCTCATAAATCTTGCAAACTATTTGCCAATAGTCCCTTTAAGCACCAACTAAATCCTAGATGGGGCATATATCGTTTGAGGACAACGATTACACGTTTAAGCTTTTCAATTTTCTCTGAAGTTCTTGATTATATTCTTTTGTTTCTTCTCCTTTCCTTTTATTTGGAAACATTATTCCAAGAGGTTGTGTCCAATTTGTGAAGTTTGAGGTATGTTGATTGTGACCAACATGATGTGATTCTGAAGCATTATTCCAATAGCTTGAA